CTCTCTTTAAACATAACCAGTTGTCCGATTTCGAAGATATTCTTAGCGTCTGAACGCCATTTGCTCCTCTGCTGACACGTCGTTAAGTATTCCTTTTGCCATCGACTCCAGAATCGTTGCCTCAGCTGTTCTACGTGTTGCCATCTTGATAGTTTATTTTCTGGAATCTCTTTTACATCTACCTCTGGGTAGGTCTGTAAATTTTCTCCGATTAAAAAATGACCTGGTGTTAATGCGCGAAGATCATTTGGGTCCTCAGACAAGGACGTTAATGGTCTGGAGTTTAACATGGCTTCTATTTGCGTCAGTAACGTTGTCATTTCAGCAATTGTCAGACAAGCGTCGCCTATTGTTCGCTTCATATGTAATTTCAGTGTACGTACCGCCGCTTCCCAAAGACCCCCGTAATGTGGAGATCTAGGAGGTATGAAATGCCAACTTATTTGCTCGCTAGTTGCATGGTCTTGAACGTCGTCCTTGAACTCCTTACTGTATAGTATTTCTTGCAACGCGCGATCCGCTCCAACAAAATTTTTTCCGTTGTCGGAATATATATTTCTGACCTTGCCTCTTCTTGCCATAAATCTCTTCAAGGCAGCGATGAATGAATCAGTAGTCAGGTCTTCTACCAACTCGATGTGTACTGCCTTCACCACCATGCAGACGAAAATTGCTACGTAAGCTTTATATTGCTTACTGTTGCGACGAATACGATCTCGCACGTAAAACGGTCCGCAATAGTCCACCCCCGTATTATAGAAAGGTCTGGCAGGGTTGACTCTGGCTGATGGCAGCTGCCCCATTAGTTGCCAGCTTGTCTTCGGGCTTGCCTTCTTACATCTGACGCACTTGTATAAGATTCCTTTAACTTGACTTTTAGCGAAAATGGGTCAAAACTCTTCTCTTATGCAGTTTAACGTAGTTTGCACTCCGGCGTGGAATAGCTTTTCGTGGTAATGTATAATAATCAATCTAGTAACATGATGGTGTGACGGGAGTATGATTGGATGTTTCGTTTCTTCAGGTAACGCCGCATGTTTCAGTCTGCCTCCAATCCTTAAAATGCCTTCGTCGTCCAAATACGGGAGTAGCGCTATTAGCTTCGAAGCCCTTCGGACCTTGTTGTTGAGCTTCAACGTTTTTATATCGTCTATGAACGCTTCCGCTTGTACTAGTTTGACTATTCTTAACTTCGCTTCCCTAATTTCCTCCGTACTTATTATTCCTATTCTACGCTCTTCTTTGGTATGCTTTACATTGTATATAAATCTTAAAATGTACGCTCCTATTCGCAACAATTTATAATAGGACGAAAATCTTTCATATTCTATAACTCGTTCATTTTCGACTACTGCTGTTACTACTGTTCGCTTTCTTTCTTCCGGTACGCTTCTTGATACCAACTCCTCAGCATCCTTTGGCCAATAGCTTGCGTCTTGACTCAACCATGGTGGTCCATTCCACCAACTGCTAGCTTTCATTAACTGTTCTGGGGTTGCACCTCTTGATATGAGGTCCACAGGATTATTCTTCGAATCTACGTGTTTCCATTCGGAAGCTGAGGAATTGGTATGAATTTCGCTAACCCGATTTGCGACAAACATTTGCCACCTTCTAGATGGGGAGTTTATCCACGCGAGTACTATTGTTGAATCCGTCCAATAGAATTTCTGGTCTATTGTCAACTTTAAACTGTCCATCACTCGACACATTAAGTTTACTAGTAAAACCGCCCCACACAACTCTAACCGTGGTAATGATAAGGCTCTCATAGGTGCTACACGCGATTTTGAACAAATTAACTTGGTGATTGTATCGCCATGTTTGTCCCTTTCGTGTAGGTATACACATGCACCGTAGGCTCTTTCGCTCGCGTCACAAAATCCATGTAACTGTAGCTGACTATTGTTTTTTCCTGACACTATCAATCTAGGAATTTTTAATTCATTAAGCAAACACAATTGTGTTCTTATTTGGTTCCAACTCTGATATACCTGCATGGGCACCTCTTCGTCCCAGTCAATCCCCAAATTCCATAACGTTTGCATTAGGATCTTAGCAGCGGTAATTACAGGCCCCACCAACCCTAATGGATCGAAAAGTTTGCACACTTGTGACAACATTACTCTTTTCGTTGCATTCTGATCATTTTCTTTCGATGTTACTTCATATTGAAACATATCCTTTTTCGGATCCCACGATATTCCTAATAACTTTGTCTCATTTTCTTTGACAATGTCTAGGCCTTCCGTTACCGTATGCACATTTTCGCTACAAATGGACATATTGGATCTCCACTTACGTAATCTAAATCCTCCCTTTTCTAGTAGCTCTGTCAGCTCTCCCTTTAACTTAATGACTTCTGCCTTTGTAGCACCTCCCGCCAGCAGATCGTCCATGTAAAAATTATTGCAAACTATTGTAGCTGCTTCGGGATAATTTGTTTTCTCGGATTCTGCTAATTGATGCAAACATCTGACCGCTAAAAATGAAGCAGGCTTTGTACCATACGTTACCGTAAGTAATTCGAAGTCTTGTATTTCGCTATTCGGATCCTCCCGCCAGACAATGCTTTGTAATGGCGTTTGTTCTTTTTCTATTAAAATTTGCCGGTACATCTTTTCGACGTCCGCACATAGTACATATTTAAAACACCTAAACTGTAGGATTAATGAGAACAGATCCGATTGTAGTGTCGGCCCTTTGCACAACGCATCATTTAACGATTTACCTCGTGAGTATGTACTAGAAGCATCGAATACCACTCTAGTTTTTGTTGTTGTACTACTTTGCTTTGTTACGGCATGATGTGAGAAATACTCTAAATTTATTTCCTAGGCTTATATTCGAGGCTCTCATGTGTCCTAATTGTTGATACTCGCGCATAAAGGCTACGTATTCAGCTTTAAACTCAGGTTGCCTCGCAAATTTTCGCTCTAATGCTAGAAACCTGTTAACAGCTACCTTCCTAGAATTCTCTAGCAGTGGCAATATTTTTTCTTTAACGGGTAATTTAACAACAAATCTACCTTCTGTTGTACGCTTATAACTTGCTTTAAATAATCTCTCACAATATTCTTCTTCCGCATCAGTATTTTTTGCGTTGGTGTAATCCTCTATTTCCCAAAATCTTTTAACGCTTTGATTTAACTCGTCTATAGTGCTTAAATGACAACTCGTTGATGATCCTTTATTTGATTGCGATAAACTAATAGGCCCGGATATGAGCCATCCTAATGAAGACTCTTGTAACACCGGTTTGTATTTTCCCAATCTTATTTGCCCTGTACCAATAAGTTCCCAAAATTTTTCGGCTCCTATTAACATATCTATTTTGCTGGGAGTGTTAAAATGCGGATCGGCCAACTTAATGTCTTTGGGTATGTCCAAGTTCGTTACGCATACTTCTACAAGGGGTAAGTTTTGTGTAATCTTTGGTAATATTACATATTCTATATCCATATTGAATGTACTACATCGCGACATTATATGCAACTCCACTGATTTCAATGCACTTGATACTTGCTGACTTATTCCCTGAATTTTTATGTAATTATCTTTAGTTTTTAAGTTCAATTTTTTAACAAATTCTTCCGTAACGAAATTGGACTGTGACCCATTGTCTAATAATACCTTTCCTTCGACATTTTTCCCTTTATCGTTTCGAACTAATACCACGGCGGTAGCTAATAATACCTGGGTAGATCTTACTTTTTTATTCGATTGAGCATACGTGCATATTGTATTGTCCTGACTTACATCTTCCTGTTGATTAGATTTTATATTGTCCTTTTGCTCTCTGTCCTCCTTCGTTGAATATTTATCATCATGCAACAAGGAGCTGTGTCTTTTTGAGCATCTTTTGCAATTGCCAGCCGTGCACTCCCTTGCTATGTGCTTGTCCTTTAGGCAATTCAGACATAGTTTTAACGCTTTTACTCTACTCAAACGATCTGAAATTGAAAGTTCTTTAAAGCCTTTACACTGGTAAATCCAATGTTCACCCTTGCAATGAGCGCATTTGTTTATGGTTATCGCCGCGTGAGCCGTTGTGAATTTACTGCTAGTTTGTCGCGATTTACTATTTAATTCTATGGACGGATTTCTTCTAGCTACTGTTTCTAAGGTCTCGCACCTTCGTGTCAAAAACTCTATCAATTCTTGAAAGGTAGGCAATTGTTTGCTTTGCAAGGTACCCTCCCATTCTTTCGTAGTGAAATAATCTAATTTGCTTGTTACTATGTATGTTAACAAGTCTCCCCAATCCTTTACTGGACGCTTTAATGCTGTTAACGCTCTAGTGTGTTTTAGTATGCCGTCTAATAAATTTCGCAAGGCGATACTATTTTCCTTTCTTAGCGCTGGCAATTCGAATATTGCCTTGATATGTTTTTGAACTGCGACTCGTTCATTGTCATATCGTTCTTTTAATCTGTACCAAGCATCGCGATAATTTGCTCCCGTAATTTCTATTGATTCTATAGCTTCCGCCGCTTCTCCTTTTAACGCGGCCTTCAGATAATTTTTGAACCTCATTTAAAAGTTTATTAGAATGTATTAATGAGTCAAAGATACCAAAGAAGGAATGCCACTCCTCGTAAACTCCGCTAAATGTCGGTAGTTCAATTTTTGGTAGTCTAATCTGAGTTTCGCTTGCTCTATTTCTTACGTTATTACGTTCAAAGGGAATTTCCGCGATCGCTTGGTCCTGATTAGCAGTTGAGGCTGGTTTAACGCGCTCTTGAATGATTCTTACGCCCGCTCGTTTCAGATTGACATATTTTTCTTCGTAACCTGCAATCTCCAAGTCAATTTGCTCTTCACTTATGTCTTTATCATAAACAGCTAACTCTACTAGGCTTTCCTCTAATGTTTTTTGCAACTCCTCTAACTTATCTAATCTTATTCTTACTTCTTCTACATCAACACTGTCGGGCTGTATTGCCTTTATAAAGTTTTCGATGCGCGTGAAACCAGCCTTCGCTACTCTTTTCTTTATCTTTAGTCTCTGTATATCTACACTTTCCGCCATTTTGATTTATGCTGATACGTTAACTAACGTTATGAATAATATAACCCTACCTTAAAGTATCTTGTCGATATTACTATGTACCTTGATACGCTAACTGACCTGTTTATAACCTTACATGCATGACATGAACGCAATTCGCTATATTGTCTCTTATATCTTGCTCGTAACACCTTGTGTATACGCCTTGACTTCTTCGCGCCCAGCTGTAGCCGCGTTGTAAAGTCGCCTTGTTGACTCGTGTGCGCCTGCCTTGCCGCTTTGCGCGCCAACTGAGATCGCTGCCTCGTGTATAACGGCCTCGTCACTTCGCGCCAAAATGATGTCGTTGCTTCTTGTCGTTGCCTCTTGTCGGAAGCGCAGCCACGTAACTTTCTCGTAAGCAAGATTCGTCAACCTGAGTGTGAGGACGCGTCGCTTGATTGCAACGTCTAACCTTTGCGCAGAAGCATGCTCGCCGTTATGTCTCACGCAAGATGTCCGCCTTTCCCATGAACTCGTTCTTGTAATGAATTCGTTTTTGTTAATTCTGCTCGTCCGCTTGCCTTGAGGTCTCGCTGTTCCTATGATAGCGTCAAAACGTCTTCTCGTGACTTCGGAAACGGCTCGCCCACCGTTTCTGTTGTGATCGGCACGTTGCTACCGGCACGCTGCTACCGGCACGTTGCTGCCGGTTCGTTGCTACCGGTGTGTTACTTGCCTTTCTCTTACCGGGTTATGCCTTCCGGTATCCGGCTCGAAGGACCATGTGGTTTTTGGGTTGAGGTGCTGGTGCAATGATTATTGAGATCGTAGGTTCTCGAAATAACTCTTTATTTTGAACCGCTGTACGTCTTACTCGGACGAGCACTTAGCTGTATCTGACCTGCGCCAATAGCGCCAACTCACTAGGGATAAATCCCTCGCCAAATCGATAGAATCGATATGGTCGCTCGCTTCCTAACCTAATGCGGTACACTTTAAATATGGGCTTGAATCACTAACCATAACAAGTATTGACGTGTTAAATGTGACATTTCGAATGTCAAACACTGATTTAACCTCCTCAACTAATGCACGCGAGTACAATGCTGTATATGGAAATAGTTTGTACAAAATACGATAGATGGCTCTAATTCGGACCAGTGTGGACTAAATATGACCCAATCAATTTTTAAGTCCCTTTCGGTAAACGGTTGGTGACTAGACATACTTTGGGCCACGATATAGGTCAGGTCTCTATCAGTCGTACGGTGTAAACGTAGCCACTGTCCGAATAACTGTCGCTCCCCGTCTTTTTACTATCACCAATTGTCTTTGTTTGCTCTTCCCGCTCCTTTCGTTCGTTCAGCAATATGTCTGCATTTCTTAATGGCTTGCACCTTACCATCTCATCTCTCTGATTATTGGATCGCGCTCGCATTGTTTTTCCGCCCTTAGCGTCTGCGACATAGCGACTTTCGCGATCGCGCCTCACGTTTTTTTTGTACTTTCGCGCTTCGCGTTGTTGTGCTTTCCTAATGCTGCGACTCTCATTTTGCGGATCCTCAGTTCCATGATTCTCATTTGTCGGCTCCTTGCTCCATCTCCCATCTGATTCCTTCCGGTTCGGACCGTTGTCTTCGATTTCGGACTGACTTCCTTCCGTCGTGGTGCTCAACTTCCGGTCTCTCCCGTGATACTCAACCTGGGGCTCCCTCTCACAATTAGTTTTCTTCGTCAGTTCTGTTCCTAGATCATCTTCATCGTCCGTTGACAAAATGATTATTGATTCCTCGCCATTACAGGTCGTTTCAATTTTAGTCGATTTTCGAATTATATCTGTTTTCCTCGTTTTTTCATCGTCACTCTCAACGTTATAGTGTTTACTTGTCGGCTGACGCTGCGCCGTCAGCTCTCGACTTCTAATCAGTTTTATCCATCGGTTTTCTGTCCTCCTAGCCTTTTGTAATTTTGGTCTCAACTTGACTTCCGTCGTTTTGTGAGGTCGAGTCGATGTACTTGCTTCCGCACTACCAGGCGCCTCCTGATTGCCTCGTTGCGCCGGTAAATGGTTTGTGGCAACAAGTTCCTTCGGCTTGAGCGACTTGATTCCGCCAGATTGGATCTTGGAATTTGTCCGTATCTCTTGGACCGTTTGAGATATTAAAATTCCGCTTCCGCCTATCTTCTCCGTTTGCTTCAAAGGTAAATTTCTGCCATCTTGGAAATTTTCGAAAATTTGTGTTTTTGGCTTTCATCGCTATTTTCGTTAATTTACGAAGTTTCGCCCAGGTCCCGCCGTTATTCTTCCTCGTTCCTCTCTTGATTATCATTGCTCGGTTGGTCTTCTTCAACTCCGCCATCTTTTTTGTCATTTTGATGCTTCTCTGAGGTTTTCTTTCATCAATACCACCGACGAGATACTATTAAAGACCGACATCCTTACGGGAGTTCGCGTCCTTGTGAATATTGAAGTGATTAAGAGTTAAAAACTGATAATATTGTACTACATGGACTGAAAAGTCGCGGGATTTTTAATGAAAACAAGCGTTTTTTGGGCAAAGTTACATTCATTATCAACATAGTTGCCATCGAGGGCGATAAACTTGGTATAGCGATTTTCCAACATTTCGATGCCCTTTCTATAGTACGAAACGTCCAAGCCTTTGAAATACACCTCGGTTTCCGCGATAACTTCCTCATTCGATCTGAACCTCTTTCCTTGGAGCCACCGCTTGAGGTTTGGGAACAGATAATAGTCGCTGGGGGCCAAGTTTGGAGAATACGGTGGGTGAGCAACCAATTCGAATCGTAATTGATCCAATTTGGCCATCGCTTTCAAGGACTTGTGTGACGGTGCGTTATCGTGATGGTACAGAATTTTTTTCTTCGCCATATGGGGCCGTTTTTTCTTTATTTCGTCGTTTAGTTTGTCCAATAACCCTGCATAATACTCTCCCGTAACTGTTCTTCCCTTCTGCAGGTAATCGATGAAGATTATGCCATGCGCATCCCAAAAAACGGAGGCCATAACCTTCCCGGCCGAGCGTTGGTCTTTTGGCCGCTTTGGTCGGCTTTCGTGGCTTTCCAGCCACTCTGCAGACTGCCTATTGGACTCAGGCGTATGGTAATGGACCCTGGTTTCATCCATCGTCACAAAACGTCGAAAAAAGTCCGCTCAATTACGCTGCAACAACGCCAAACCGGCCGTTGAATCATCAACGCGCTGCTGTTTTTGGTCGACGGTCAGCAAACGCGGCACCCATCGCGCCGATAGCTTTTTCATCTCCAAAAGATCGTGCAAAATGTATCCCACCCTTCTTTTGAGATGCCCACGGCCTCAGCTATCTCGCGTAACTTCACTTTACGATCACTCAAAACGATTCGATGCACTTGCTTTATGATTTCCGCATTCGTAGCCTCTTTTGGCCTTCCAGAGCGAGGTGCGTCTTCGATGCTTGTACGACCCATTTTAAATTCACTAAACCACCGATAAACTGTTGTTCTCGAAGGAGCAGATGTGGGATAACATTTCTGCAACCATTGCAATGATTGTTCAGAAGTTTTTCCCATTAAAAAACAATGTTTGATCAAGATGCGATATTCCTGTTTTTTCATTTTTTTTTTACGAAAGCGAAAGTAGCGTCACTCAAACGACTGTAGCTTGTAAACGAATAGACGGAATGTCATGAAACTTCATACATAATCTAGTGACAGATGAGCCTCTCGAAATGAGTCATGTTCATTTTTTAGTGGCGTCACCTATTGAAAAATCCCGGGACTTTTCAGCCCATGTAGTACTAATTTTGTGATTTATTAGTTTAGTAGATGTATTTATGCATTTATTTCTCAATAATACTCGATTTTTCTTTAAAATTGATATTTCAGTGCTTTCATCAAAGTTTGATTATCAATAAAGATGATAATTGCAGAGAAAAAATTGATTTTTTTGCAAAATATAGGATATTACAGCTTTACAAGTATGTATATTTATTTATGGGACATTTATGTTAAAAAATCATGAATTTAATAATGTATAAGCCAAATATTTATGTTAATAATAGCAAATTTATATCAATTGTCGGTAATGTCAGTGTTCTTGAATTACCTTCGGGCCCTTGGGGCTCTTTTTATACCGCCGAAAATTTGCCTAGGGTTGACGGTTTTTAATAATATCTCGTCGGTGTCAATACTCTCAAGATTGTCCACGTTGGCCCTTTTATTATCGTTTTCCTTGTTTGCCCTGTGGATCATATATATTTCCGGTTCGTCCGGAATTTCTTCGTCCTCTTGCAGTCCAGTGAATTTTGCCTCCACGTGTGGCCTTATTTGCCTGGAGTTGAGCACTCGTATTGATCGTCCCTCCAAATCGGCTATTTCGTAGGCGTTCCGCCGTATCTCCCGTCGGACTTGGAACGGTCCGTCATACACGAGATGTATGTTTCTAGTAAGTCTTCTCTTTGCGTCAAACCTACGGTGTAATTTACACCAGACTAAATTCCCTTCCTTGTATCTTGGCGCCGTCGACGTTTTGTCGAATTGGCGTCTTCTCTTCTCAGCTGCCCTTTGCAAATTTTGTCGCGCTCGTTCGATTCGTTGCCCCTTGGTTTGCTCCTGTCCTCGATTCGATTTCAGAGCCTAACTTATATTTAGTTCCATTATCTCTTCGTTGTGCAGCCAATCCGGGGTGAATCCTGTGCTGGAGTGTACCGTCGCGTTCATTACTGCCTCTAGCCGTGATATAACTTGGTTCCAAGTGCTTATCGCTGGCGTATGTCCTTATGACCCTTCCGATCTCGCCCATAACTCGCTCGATTGGATTCGATTGAGGGTTATACGGTGAAGTTCTTGTTATCTCAAAACCACTTTCTTGAGCAAAATCTCTCCATCTGGTTGTGCAGAATTGGCCTCCGTTATCAGTTAATATCGTCGATGGCATTCCCATTTCTGGGAAGTATTGATCCCGCAGGATCACGATGACCGTCTCCAATGTTTTCCATCGGGTACATCTTTGTTAGTTTGCTGAACTGATCCATTATGAC